TACTGTCTATTCTCCTTTATGGGTCTGAAACATGGGTCACCTATCGCTAACACTTACGACTCCTTGAACGCTTTCATCAATGCTGTATATGCATAATCCTAAATATACACTGGACTGACTATGTGACGAATGTTGCTGTCCTTGAGCAAGCAGGGATCACCAGCATTGAGGCCATGGTATTGAAAATGCAGCTGCACTGGGCAGGGCACTTTTCTAGGATGGAGGACCATCGCCTCACAAAAATAGTACTCTACAGTGAACTCGCCATGGGTCAGCATAAGAGGGGCGCTCCAAAAAAGCGATACAAAGACTCCCTGAAACAACATCTCAGGCTCAGCCAAATTGATCACCAATAATGGTCTACCCTGGCCTCACATTGGGAGGCATGGAGATGCACTATCCACAATGCTGCAGCCTTACTTGAGAAGTCATGCCGAACAAGTCTCGAAGAGAAACAACAACGCTGAAAGAATCACAACCCGGAAACATCACCCAAGGAGATCTTCTGCTGTGCTTTCTGCAACCGGACTTGTTTATCTTGGATTGGCCTTTTTAGTCATCAGCGCACTTGCAAAAAGCATGGGATGAGTCCTTCCTGAATCTTCATTTGCGAAGAAAAGCCAGAGAGAGAGAGATATGTTGTTTTATCTATATTTTAAATTGTTCTAGTTTAATAATCTTTTAAGGGGCAGGGGCTGTGATTGGATGTATTTATTAATGTTTTTATTGTTTTTATTGTTGTCGGGGCGATTGCATTGCAGAGGAGCGGGATAGAAATTATTATTATTATTATTATTTCAACCTTGACCAGGAAATGATCCATCCATGACAGAGTGGAGGTATTTATTACCTCTGCCCACTGATATGCCTGTTCCATACTAAAGACCGCATCGAGAGTATGACCTGCTGAGTGTGTAGACCCAAGAACCAATTGGGATAGGCCCATGTCTGTCATGGAATCCATGAACTGCCAAGCTGCACCTGTTAAACTGGTCTCGAGTGGGATGTTGCAGTCACCCAGAACTTAGTCTGGGTGACTCCAGCAGCAACTCCGAGACCAACTGCGTCAGCTTGGATAGGAAGTCTGTTAGGCAATGGGGTGGACAGTATACCAACAGAATCCCTATACTATCCCTGGTTTTCAGGCTCAAGTACATACTCTCGAAGTGGTCTGTTTTCTGGATAGTTATCCTGGTCAAGGAGAGGTTGTTTTTTCCTGGACCAGAGCCACGCTGCCCCCCCCCCTTTCCCTTACCTGCTCATAGACTGAATGGTGGCTGTGAGAACTTGATTCAAAGTGATGGCACTGTCCTCCCCCAGCCAGGTTTCCGTGAAACATGCCAGGTGGGCTTCTTTATCCATGAGGAAGTCATGGATGGTGTGGGTTTTATTTTTAACTGACCTGGCATTACAGTTTGAATTGTGCGTAGTTTAATGAGGCAATTTTAATGTTTGTTGGTCAGTTCTGACAATCAGCATCACTGGACTGGGTCTAAAGTTTCCTAAATAAAAGTTTTCACAGTTTTAATTACTGAAGCCTGATTTTTGAACTTTTTGAACCTGCTGGACATGACATCAATGCATTCTGTCTTTTCCACTGGCACAAAAAGATAGGAGTATTTAAAGTCTCAAACAGAAGCACTGTTTTGGAAACACCACCTCTCTGCACATTCCTCAGTATTGTTACAAACAGCTGAGTTGATGAATGCATTAGGGAGCCATACACTGAATGAACAAATATAATTATATGAAAAGATGATAAAATTTTGACCATCATTAATTATTTTACATATTATCAGGACTGAGGGGTGGGTGTTCTGGATTTTATAGGAAGGAGTTCTACAAGAAAACATCATGTCTTCATGCATGTGCCTATGTTGCTTGCATTCAGGTCATTCAGGTCAACATGAACCTATCACGGGTTCTCTTGGCATTTTTTTTTCCAAGATTTTTTCCCCATTGGCATCCTCTTAGATGAGAATGTGTGACTTTGTTAGAATATAGATGGGTTATACAGTCAGAGGTGAAATGTAAAGATGTGTGTCTGGAATTTTCCTCATGAGAACAACATCTAGGCAAACAAAGACAGCCCAGTCCAGGTGGCCAGAGAGTCATAACATCATAAGTTCCTAGCTGGAAAAGGCAGCAAAGAACAGATAACAGTATCCAAAACATCATTAGGCATGGGAAAGAAATCACGTGGTGGATGATGGACAGCAAGGGACTGGGTTAACAAACATCATACACATAACATCCAATCAACATAAGGTTAACACCCAGAAGGTGGAGAAAGGGCAGGGCTGAGAAATCCCTTTGTCTAGAATTGTTTATATTTCTTGCTTTCTTCCTGTTTGTGTGTGTGTTCCCAATGGATCTAACTATGGAGTTAATTCTTGGACTATAATATGCTTATATTGCTTTTATAATGTAACTTCTGGATCTGGAAACATGGATCTGTAGCTCTTTTGTTCAACCACATCAGCATGATGTGACCCTATGATGGATTGTATTTTTCTTTGCTTATTTTTACCTTTTGAAACAATAAAGCTCTACTTTTAGAAGTTTGGATTTTTCCCTGGCTCTGCTGGATTTTCAAGCACACCACTCCAATAAAATTCAACAGACTTGTCCAAGATGGCCCAGTGGATTTTCATGGCCAAGTAGGGATTTGAACCCTGCTCTCCAGAGTCATAGTCCCACAGTCAAACCAGTACACCATGTTTGTATTATAATAGAAACTACTTTAGTATGGAGAAAGAATTCCTAAAGAAACAATATGATTACATTAAAAATAGCAAGTATGCATAATGATGATCTCCAGTCATTTTATATCATCAAGATTTGTCACTGATGTCTGATTATAGATACTGATGAGCTATAAACACCGATGTGACTTTATCACCATCAGATCATAATGATTTAGATGATGGGGTAAGTCTCTTAATCCCAACTAGTTGGTTTCTATAATATACTGCATGGTTGAACATCATGACATTTTCCCCCAGTTGTTGGAGTTTTCTTTTATTGTTTAATACCCAGTAAAAAAATGCTTTCTTACAGCATCTGCAAAATCATGTCACTAGCCTCACATGGCCCATTACAGTGCACCACTGTTTCTAATATTCTGATATTTTATTTGCTATATTGCGATTGCTATACAGAGGGGCGGTACAAATAAATGATGATGATGATGATGATTATGATGATGATGATGTTTGTAAATCCTGTGGCCTAGGTAGCCAAAGCAGCTCCTCCTGTTTACAAGAGGGAACCTGTCAGCAGGGTCATAAAAATCTCAGGGTCTGCAGAAGTAGAATCTTGAGGAGGGAGAAACAAAAGGGGATAGGACTGGAAAAAAACCCCAATGTACCACTTGAGCTAGAGAGGTGTAGTGGTTGGAATGTTGGACTCTGGAGACTAGGTTTTGATTCACCACTGGGCAAGTAATATGCTCTCAACCTCAGGGAAAGACAATGGCCTTCCTCTGAACAAATCTTGCCAAGAAAACCCCATTATAGCTTGGCTTTAGGATCGCCATAAATCAGAAATGACTTGAAGGCACAGAACAACAGCTTTCCTTGATGGTCTAGTGCTCAGGATATGGCATTCTCACTACTATGGCATCAGTTCAATTTCTGATCAGAGAAGGCTTTTCTTTCACCCTGTCCTTGCCTTTGGGAGGTCAACCTCTCACTAATCTTTGAGGAGGATGTATAGTGTTGGATATTGATTAGGATTCTGAAATGATTAGGTTCATATTCCCACTTTGTACTCCACTGGTGTAATATTTTGTTGAAAATCCCTCTAGTTATTCCCTCTTAGATATATTTAGGGATGTGAGAAAATTTTCCTGAACTAGGTGTGGAAATTAAGCTGAATTCTTCTCTGAAAATCATCCGATTCCAATGTTATATTGCAGAAAAGAAGCAATGGCTGGGGTTTAGAGATCACATAAAAATGCAATTCTAGCCTAAGGGTACAATTTTGAGCATACACACCAGGAAGTATTTCCCACTGAACACAGTGGGATTTACTTCCAAATAAGTGTATTGAGGACTGAATTAACATTTGAAGGGAACTACATACTAGCAGGCTTTATAAAATATAAATGCAAAGAATGGACTTTTGCATAGTCATTGGCATGTCAAGATAAAATCCTAGATTCCTGGCAATGACATGACTTATCAGCACTTTTTAATCAAGATGAACACATATTATAATCTATGGTAATATAACCTGATTATTTCTGTTGCTGCATAAGCAGAGAAGTCAGAAATGTGTTCAGAAAACCTTTGATGTACATCTTCAAAGGCATTTATGATATTTGACTAATTAAAAAAAATTGCTAATTGCTGGAACCACAGATACAGTTTAATCTATTCTCTTCCATACCAAGTTACTGATACAACTATAGTCCTCCCTCCATTCTCGTGGACATGGGATCCACATCCCTTGCTTATCCATGGGAGGTGAATGGAGGGGACAAATGAGGTGGGCCCGCGTTCCTCCCCCCCCCCCCCCCCCCGGGATCCCACCTCCATTCAAGCCAATAGGGCTTGAATATACTTGATTTTCCAGAGTGGATCCCCTGCAGGAACAGAGGGAGGACTATACAGATTTTCTACCACTGTTCAAATGTTGAATTCATTAAGAAAGTTGTGTATATAGCAATAGCTTGAATAGAATTGTCAGTTAAGCAGCTCTTGCTCTCTGCTTTCTCTCTATGTATGTATGTATGTGTGTGACGTTATTAATAATTCTGATGAAGTTAGCAAAGAATGGTCTTGCCATATTAATTTTCCCTGCTTGAGTGCAATCTATATTTTTATTGAGAGTTCATATCCCAGTGTGGCTTCTATATCAATAAGGTGGTGAATGTGCTCTGGTGAAGGCTTCAACATAACTCCTACTTTCAGAATAGAGTTCAGCAACTTGGATAGGAGAGAGACCAACATGGTGTAGTGGTTTGAGTGCTGGACTATGACTCTGGAAATGATGGTTTGAATCCTCATTCAGTCACGTAAACCCACTGGGTGACCTTGGGCAAGTCACACTCTCTCATCCTCAGAGGGTTGCAATGGCAAACTTGTTCTGATGAAACTTGCAAGAAAACCCCATGATAGGTTCATCTTTGAGTCACCATAAGTAGGAAATGACTTAAATTCACACAACAACCACTGCCACCTTAGATAGGTTCTTTACAGTTCAGAGTAAAATAAAGTGCATTCACTGCACCAGTGGCATGGAAGCCACCACCCAGCACTGTTTACCCTAATACTTTTCAAGACTGGTAATCCTATACACTTCAAATGGAAATTCCAACATGTCTTTGGCATTTTTGAGATTGAGCTCTGGATGGCTGAACAGCTCCTTCTGGTCAATACCACTTTCATGTGGTATCATCATAGAATCATAGAATCACAGAGTTGGAAGAGACCACAAGGGCCATCCAGTCCAATCTCCATCTGCCATGCAGGAACTCAAGATCACTCCGAGGGAGTGTGTTCCACTGTCATTAAGGGGAGGTGCAATGGTGCAATCCACACCAGGTGACTCCCCAGAAGAGAGGTGACACCAGTCGGGTCCTCCTCCCAAGATATCCCTGCACACAATTCATCCCCCCTGCATGTGCTCCTTCCCCTCCATGCCATTCCTGCATATACTCCTCTCAAGTGCCATCTCTGTGCATGCTCTTCCCCTGTGCTGTTCCTGCATTCGTTCCTTCCCTTACACCATCCCTACATGTACTTCTTCCCTTCAGTGCTGTCCCAATCTTTTCATGAGTGGCATGGGGTGGAAAAGGGGAGGGAACACATGCCTGGAAGCCCTGCTTCCAGAAGCCCCACCACTGGAAGCCCTGCCCTCTGCACCAGGGCACCAAGTGTGGGGGCTATGTCTATGTGATTTTTTTTTCAAGGGCAGTTCTGCATAGAGCACATTATCTCTGTCTAGGAAAGGCTGTATCTGGCACAGCAGTTAAAGATGTCACCAAGCACTCCAAGCCATAGAGTCCACTTGAACCTTCAGTGACTGGGAATATATAGTCTGGCATTCTGTTAATGACTTACACATGCATGAGTTCCCATAGAGACACAGTTGGGCATTTTTGTCTGATGTGGAAGTCCGTATTCTGTTGAAGGCAGTAGAAGCAGAGTTGTGCATGCAGAGCCATCATGCATGTGGCTACATGTGCATTGCACATAATGATGTGCATTGCTTACTGCTGTTGTACATTTCATTTATTTTCATGTTCAGCTGAACAGTGTTTCAGTTCACTAATAGACATCATGAAACTCTATAAGCATACATTTAACATTGTGCCTCCCTGATGTAGCATCTCAACTATAGTTTGCATGCAACACATAATGGCAAAAATGGAGTCATATCAGGCTCCATACTATAAATAATATATTCCCATCAACTTTAATTCACAAATCAAACCAACCTTTGAATATTTTAAGATCAAATCAAATTAACTTTTGAATATTTTTTAAAAAATATATTTTGTATGTAGAGTGGAGAGAAAACTCATGCCTTTCTATAGCTCTATGATTCACTTTTCCTAATTACAGGTTTTATTGCAGTGTACAATCACAAGATGGCAGTTCTGTTTCATTATTATTTCAAAAGCCCATTTGAAGGCCTATTCCATGGCAGTGTGAGCAGTAAAGAAATTGTTAATTTTTTTGCTGCCACCATTGCATCCACAGGGAACTGTCCAGCAGAGCTGTTCCAAGTGATCAGAGATCTGTTACACACTCATTCTCAAGTAGAAAATGCAGACCATAAGACATCCCACTACAAAGAATTTGCACAACACTTTGCAGATAAAAATCACTTAGATCCACCATGACTTGGGTGTTGTAGTTGATACAGTACCAGTGGGTGTAATCTTGCTGTCTGTTTGTCCAGTCTTAATGGATAATTTCCAGTTTGTGCAGCTTGAGGATGTGGACAGGTTCCTTGCAAAGGTGAGAGCCACTACATGTGTCTTAGATCCTTGCCTTTCTTGGTTTATTAAACAAGACAGAGGGGAGCTGGCTGACTGGGTGAAGGGGATAGTCAGTTCCTCCCTACAAAAAGGGAGAGTTCGATCTTGCCAGAAAGAGGCAGTTGTGAGGCCTCTGTTGAAAAAAAAAATCATTGAACTCCTCTATAATGGATAATTATATCAGTCAATGTCCATCCTACCTTTTATGGGCAAGTTACTGGAATATTGGTGGTCTGGGGCTTTCTGGATGAAACAGATTACCTAGATCCATTTCAATCTGGTTTCAGGCCTGGATATGGAACAGAGACAGCCTTGCTTGTCTTGGTGGATGAACTATGCAAGATTGGACAGGGAAGTGTGTCCCTGTTAGTTCTGCAGAACCTCTCAGAAGCATTCACTACCATCAACCATAGTATTTGGGTGTACTCCTGGACTTAGCTTTGAACTTGAAGGCCCATGTTTCTTCAGTGACCAGGAGTGCTTTTGCATATCTGAGGCTTGTATGCCCATTCCTTGAGAAGTCAGATCTGGCCAGGGTGGTAAATGCCTTAGTTATTTCCTGTTTGGACTACGGTCTACTGCACTCTACTTGGGGATGACTTCAAGTGTGTTCCAAAACTTCATCTGGTCCAAAGTGCTGCAGCCAGACTGTTAACTGGGGGAGGTCATAGAGAGAACACAGTGCTCCAGTTGGAACAGCTCAGTTGGCTGCCAGTTTGTTTCTGGTCAAAATTCAAAGTGCTGGTTATGACCTATAAAGCATATATGGTTCTGGTCCAAGCTATTTGGCTGACTGTATCTCCTTGTATGAGCTACCTTGGGCTCTGAAGAGATTATTATACCAGCCCTTTTCCCAGCGTAGTCACACAATTAAATTAAACTGGGAACATACCACATTGTATGCAGCCACTACTGCACCTCTTCTCATTTGCGCAATTAAGGCTGCTTTCTCCCATTGCACTCCGTTTCTGCCCTCTCCTTATATCCTGCCACCATCCTTTATGCCCTTCCCAGAATGTCTTTAGTTAATTTACTGAATAACTTTTCCACACAGAAAAAAGAGCCCTGTAGAGTTCTGCAGCCATGATTTAAATTTAAAAAAATTGAAAAAAATTAAAAGGACTTCACTAGAGGGGGAAATGTGGTAGAGGGGGGAAATGTGGTAGGAGGGGACACTGACACCATGTGACTGACAATCATGCAACATGGGTTTCTCTTGCTAATGAAAAAGAATGGCTGGGATCAGGACAGCTATGGGTGGGAAGTGGGATCATGCAATCAGCATTGACAAAACCACTTTCCTCACAATGAAACTGCAGTTTAAAAGCCACTTGTAGTAATCTTCTGAGATCATTAGGACAGACCCTTTTCTCATTTCTACCATTATTGCAAGCACGGTTGGTGGGAGAGGGCCTTCTTTGTAGCTGCCCCCCAAATTCTAGAATTCTCTTATCAAGGAGGTCAGAATGGCCCTCTCCCTGCTGTCTTTCATTTGACAGTCTGAGATATTTTTATTCAGACAGGCTTTTAAAACAGAAAATCTTTAAAGAACAGGCTGGGGGTGTTGTACTGTTTTAATTTACTGTTGTAAGTGCTTTTATATTTAAAAAAAATGTTTTACTTTTAATGAGTGACATGTTTTAATACTATAACAGT